TTCGGGTACGGGGGGAGACCGCGCCGGGAGGAGGATGAGGAGGAGGCTGCGGGTGTTCTGCGCCTGAAGACGGAGTAACGATAGCGACGAAATCGAGTGGTTTGCACTGAAAATGGCAGGGAGAAAAGGCGCATCTCCAACCGGCAAACGCGCCTCGGGAACAAAATTGCCAGCCATTATTGGTTTAACTAATTGCTGAATCATTTGGAAATAGTGCAAAAATCAGTAGTGGTCCCAGTGGTGAAGGTTGATGAGAGGTGTGTGTAGTGTTCTCGCGAGTACCAGCTGAGCTCTACACCACCCGTCAAATATGCCCCTCGCCCGTTTAAAATCGCCCCCTTTTCGGAGGGATTAGCGGTAATTGTCCTTCCGCTGTCTCCCTGTGCAGGGCAGATGTTCAGATTCAAAGGACCTGTAAACCGAACCAGCGGCATCTGTCCTGGGTGGGAGCACAGCCCCAGAAAGTCTGGCTGCTCCCTGGCTTCCTAAAGGAACCCTCTCTAACTGCGTGGTTTAAAATTCGTTTTCAAAATAATTGCCCTCCGTTTTTTTCGTCTTTTAATTTTTGTTTAGAGCCTGCAACCGAAGCTTAAGAGGTCTTCCTTGAGGAACCTATGGCTTCTTTACTTAAACTATTTATCTACTTAACTATTTACTAAACCAATAATCGACTAATTTATACGATAATAAGTGCCATTGATCTCGGAAATCAGGTTGCCCGTTGATGTAAAATGTCACAAACCAGTAAGTTCTTGCAAAGCCTGCGATCGCGTGCCTTTGAAAGGGAAGCCCTTCAGAAGTGTGATCGCTTCTCCTTTTATTTTTAATGGAACTTGTCATTTCCTTCTCAGAAGCGCACCATCTTGTCCTCTGAGGGGATCTGTTGCTGGTAATTTGTGTAGAATACTTTGTGTAAATAAATCTACACCCAGAGGTGGTGGGGAAAGGGGGATCTGTAAACTTAGGCAGAGTTGAGACTGGAATTATTCCGTAAATTGCAGGAAATATTTATCTGCAACACGAATTGGACTGACTTTTATTTTTTTTTTTCTACTCAAACGGGACTCCGTTTGCACGGGGATGATGGGTTTTAGATGTGGATAGAGCCTGACAAGTGGAAGGTAGCTTAGAAGGATGCTGAAACTTCAAAAAGATTTTTTTTTTTTAAGTGTGTTCCTGTGATCATAATTTCTTCTTTCACTTGTTGGAATGGAGTTTGATGGTTTTTTTAGGTCAGTAAATCAATGGCTGAAAGCTTGCTGAACACAGAAGCACCTGTAAAGAATTCTGAATACTCCCTTTGTGAATTAGAGCCCAAACCTCCCACAGCCTGCAATGGCCCGGGCCCTTGTGCCGCCTGGAACGGGGGCCAGCACAGCCTGGCGAGTGACAGCGGCACCGATTATTGTTCTTCCTGTAACAAAACCGAACAGAAACCCCAATGATGACATGAAGAGAAACCAGAAGAATTTTAGGCTATGTGGCAACAGACTGTTCATGCAGAGTAATTATCCTAGGAATAGAGATATTTTTGTTGTTGGTTTGGTTTGGGTTGGTTTGTGTTGTTTTTTTTTTTCCCTTTCCTCTGACAAAAACGGGAAAAGCCTGGAAAGTTTTGAAGAGCGAATTTCTGTTTCTCTTCTCGTTTCCCCTGGGACCGAAAGCTCAGAAGCAGCTTTCCTGTGGCCACGGTTGCGGAGCGAGCAAACGGGCGTCGCAGCTTAAAAAAGGCCGTCTTGCAGCTCCTTCCTAAGAAAAACCAGCCTTCCCTCCTCCTGCCCCTCTCCCCCCTCCCACT